AATCACCTTGTTCCCATGCAATGGGATGGGAACCAAGTCTACCAGGTAACGCTCCTCAAACAGTCGCAGAACACAATCCCGAAACACCATCGATGCTCGCACCGATCGATCGTCAGCAATCTCTACCTCTAACGGGCAATCTAACTCGCCTGAAGTCTCATGAAATCTCTTGCTAAGAGCAAGAGAAACGAACGATCGGGATGCACCCGAGTCGAACAATACCTGAACCGGGATGCCGCTCACATGGAACGATCCTAATACACATGTATACACACGAAGCACATATCAATATCATAACAACGTAAAATAAAAGATAGTAGGAAGGAATCATACCCGTCACCACATCGGGCGCGGCGCGTGCCTCCTCGGCAGTCAACTGAAATGCCCGACTCCTCACCACTGGAGCCTCTGCCTTGCCTTGATGGCCATCCGTGATCCGCAGGGTCGCTGGAGCTGGCGCCTTCACTGGCGCTGAAACTGTCAACATGGGGTAATTGGCCTTCTTGTGGCCCCTCTGGTTGCAGTGAAAACACAGCAACTCGGATGTCTGAATAGCTGAAACTGGAGTAGTACAATCCCTGCTAAAGTGCCCTGTCTTGCCGCACTTGTAGCAGCCTCCTGATCCCATCCTACACATCCCCACGTGCGTCCTGTCGCATTTCACACAGCAGCTCGATCCCGAATGACCTTTCGGTCTACCGTCTGATCCCTTGGGCTTCTTCCCCGAAGCCCCTCCTGCCTGACCGTCCTCTAGTTTCTGTTTCCGGATGTGCTCCAAATCTATCTCTTTCTCCCTAGCCCTGGCAATCATGGAGTCCAGGGTGGGGCAAGCCGAAAAACTAACATGCTCCCGGATGTCAGCTCGTAGCATATCATGGTAACGAGTCCTCCTCATGTCCTCGTCACTGGCATACTGGGGCACCAATAAAGCCCTCTCCCGAAACTTGGCGGTGATCTCCGCCACGGTCTCTGTCGTCTGCCTCATGTCTAGAAACTCCCTGGCCAGCTGCTGAAGCTCGACCGCCGGCGCAAACTCTGCCCTGAACCTAGCCACAAAGTCCGACCAGGTCATTGCCTCGATAGCCGAGGCTCCCAACGAGTCACCCACTGACTCCCACCAATCCCGGGCTCGATCCCGTAAACACCCTGCTGCGTACCTCACCTTCGACCCCTCGGGGCAGAAGCTGATCAACTGGGCGGACTCAATATCCGCAATCCACCGCCTGGCGACAATGGGGTCCTTCACCCCATGGAAATCCGGCGCACCACTGCCCCTGAAGTCCTTGAAGGACAGTGTGCGAGATCCCGACTGGCTAGAGGCCAAGTCGCTCCTGAATGCCCGTAGGCGATCCTCCATCAACTCCATGATCCCTTCCTTGATCGACCCAAAGATGATGGGGGTCGACTCAAGGATGCCCCTAGTGATCTCCGACGTGATGAACTCACGTAGCCTCTCATCAATCGGCTCGGTGCCTGATCCCGAACTTGACCCCTCTCCTGACCCGCCATCTGTCGGTCTCGGTCGAAGTACCACCATTCTGCAAAACATCATAATAATCATTAGTGGTACTGCTACTTTCTGAGGGATCTCGACTACTTACAGGTTCCTTGGTCTCGTCTTGGCCTTCCTCGGCTCGGGTACGGATCCTATGCTTTCAGTAGTACGGGCCCATACTACCTTCCACATCTATCCGTACCTTCTCCGAGGAATTCCTCGACTCCACCAGCTCCCCTTTACTACTGCTACTCTCTGTTATTCTCATCCTAGGCTTGCCCTAGGGAAAACTCAAGTTCAACACGACTGGTCCTCAGCTGCTGTAGGTCTCCTCATAATGCCAATTAGCCACCACCTAAACACCATCACATGTGATGAGGACTAGATAATCCTTCAAGTAAAAGATCTGTCCCTACAACGGTTGGACTCAAACAAGAGCTGCGCAATAGGGCCAGTTCCAATACTTTGGGATTATTCAACCCTGATTACATGTGGTGTGACGTGTTTACCTAGTGTCTAACTCCCATTACTCAGAATCCCACCAAGCACGAAGCAAGCAGCATTCGGATAAGGGAAAAACAGACTCAAGCCAAAACTATTCTTATAACAAGAAACGACACTTATCATAGGATGCTAAGCTCATATTATCAGGCATAACCTAAACAGGCTATCCTACTGCTGTCTACTCAATTCTAGCATGCAATATTCATAAAGCTGTAACACATAAGCAGGCACATAAGGCATCACTCCTAGATCCTTAGCCTATTCTAGCATGCAGTTCTACGTAAGCTGATAAACATAACATAAACTTGTATGGGTACTATGGGGAATACTTACTTGAGCTCGGCCGGTCGCGCACGTCACACACTTCGTTCTTTCTTATGACTCTTTTCCGGGTTTTAAAGAACAATTTCTTTTGGAAAATCTTTCAATCCCTCGATTTGAGTTCAGACACTCCCGAAGGCGTGTCCAAATCCCTCAAACCAGGGCTCTGATACCAACTTGTAACGACCCAATTTTCATGTCCAAAAATTTCATTTTAAAATATTACTTTTAGAAAACATTAATAAATAAAAGCATTGTTTGATCACGCCATAACACATCGCAAACCATGTTTTAATATTCAAACCATACAATCCATCAAATATCAGAGTACAATCCCCGTGAATCTCGTAAATGCGGAAACCGAAGAGTGTGTGTGTGTGACATGCTGCTACCGTGCCGGCTCCTTTCCCCTAGCTAAGGAGGTACCTGAAACCAAAACTGAAACCGTAAGCACAAAGCTTAGTGAGCTCCCCCATAATACCCCATACCATACAACATATAACAAATAACATGCAGTTAGGAGATACGGGCCCCGCCCACACTCGTGAGGATACGGGCCCCACCCACACCTCACTTTCTGAGAGATACGGGCCCCGCCCACACTCGTGAAGATACGGGCCCCGCCCACACTTCGCTACCTGGGAGATACGGGCCTAGCCCACACTCCATTCTCGGAGGGATACGAACCTCGCCCACACCCAACCGTCAACACATATCATACAAGTATCACGCAGACAACAAGTATCAACAGTTCTATCATACTGGTATATATCACAATCAACTCGACTAATAGATACGGGCTCGGCCCACACTATAATACTAACGTCTCATCTATATGGGCCGACCTTGGTGCCTTAGATCCGTTACTAATGAAAGGAAACTCACCTCGAAATAGCTGCTGGTCTGTGTGGGAATTGATCACCTACTACTGCTGCTGCTGCTCCGGAAGCTCCCCGGCTGTAATTCCCACAATATCCTTAGTCATACACTGCTAACTGTCCTTTGGGTAAAAAGACCATTTTACCCCTGGTCTAGCCCTAAGTCAAATCGAAGTCAACTATTAGTTTACCCGACTCGCCGAGTGGATCTCCACTCGCCGAGTCCCTAGCAAACTATTGTCCTGGGTCCCTGATTCTACTCGTCGAGTTGGGCTATGACCCGGTGAGTTCATCTTCTAAACTGTCATTCAACTCCTTCATCCTACTCGCCGAGTTGTATGAACAACTCGTCGAGTTCATCTTCGTCCGAAGAACACATATGCTAAGACTCGCTGAGTTGTATGAACAACTCGCCGAGTCTGTTCTTGATCTTATGAAGATTGCCTTGGACTCGCCGAGTCAGGGCATTGACTCGCCGAGTCCTAACATGGGTGAGTTCAGCTCCCAACTCACCGAGTCACCCCCTGTGACTCACGGCTCAACTCGATACATCATGAAGGGACCAAATCGGTGACTCGCGACCAGACTCGCCGAGTCGCCAATACGACTCGCCGAGTCGCCGCCATGCATCCACCAAATACACCGATTTACTCGATTTCAGTCCATGCCATTCATGGATCTGGACTTCTAGGACACAAATCACACGTAAAGTTTCCAACTTTACGTGTGGATATTCACTAATGTGGATTTTAGGGTGTAAAATGCCTCAAAAGGGTAGATCTAGGATGAACAAGCCACATGGGGCCATAAAGCTAACAGATCTGAGCTCCTGGAGCTCAATCTTGCCTAGATCTAAATGTTAATCCACTTATTACGAAACATTACACACAAACAAGTTTGAAGAATTGCTCAAGAGTGTCTCAAATGAAATCTTAAGCATAGAAACAGGGGAAAAACGAGATATACCTCAAGGAAAATGTTGAAATGACACAAAGATGGCTGATCTCCTTCTCCTCTTCTTGATCTACTCCTCTTTCTCCTCAAAACCTTCAAGAACACACCAAGAACACTTCAATCTCTCAAGGAAATAAGGGAAAACAATGTTGGGGGAGTTCTGGGGGTGAATGGGGATGAGTTGGGGCGGAATGAGGGTTTAAATAGGGTGCAAACCCTTGAAACTTAGGGTTTCATCCAGCAGCGGTGACTCATCGAGTCCAGGATATGGACTCGCCGAGTCGCCCACTTAAACGTGTCCTGAGTCTCGTCCCTACTCGGCGAGTCGGACCTTATGACTCGTCGAGTCCAAGGCTAAAATAGGGCAATGCTCAAATAAAATTCATATACCGGAAACCAGGTGCTACACTAGTGACGTAGCATCTAATACCCAACAATCTCCCCCTTTGCGTCAATTGAGGCCCGAACTCATTAGCCTTGAATTCGCTTTTTCACTTCGTAACCTTTTGGAATGATGCCATACATCGTCTGTCGGATATGTATGTACCACAAAATCATATCTGAGAAGCACTTGAGGACTTCTTTACCAGGTCCAATATAAACTAAAGAAAGGATGTAGTTTACAGATGCTTGTGATAAAGGAAGAAACATTCCTTGCGAAAGTCAGCACCAGATCGCTCCCTAGCTTGATACACAACATACCATTCCTTACGGTAAATCTTCATAATCTGCAGCTTTTCAAAATCCTTTGGATATTCCTTACAAACAACAGAAGGCTTCTTTCATAACACTGCTTCTACCTCAACATCCATTTCCTCATTCTCTTGAATGTAAGACTTTATCATTAACTAGAGGTGGGACATGATAGGTTCGTATTTCATTTTATCTTTCAACAGCATGTTGTAAAGAATGAGCCATTCATTAGGGTTAAGACAAGGTAAGTTTGCGAGTGTGAATTCGTAGCACTGGCTGGCTGATCCTCTTTCCACTTTGAACTTCGCGTTGGGAAATCTGTCAGTCTCGATTGGTCCTTTAACCTTGACAACAATTATTTTTCTTAACGGCCATGTTTCGTATTGTGGCTTCATATGCTTAAGATAAAAAGAGAATAGCATGTGATCAACCCCTCTATCAGTGAGTGGAACATTCACAACCTTCATAAAAGCACGAAACCTGAAAGCCTTTGGATTATTGGTAGATCCAATTGCGAATCTTGTGTATTTTGAAGATCAAACGACACAATTGTCTCTAACTAATATTGTATGGGTAAATCGACAACATCATTCTGGATTCACTTCGAGGTCCATTTGGGAAATAAAAGCTTCTTGCTTTGAAGAGTGGTCTGAGCCTCTTTCTCAGCTCTTTCTTTTTCTTTTAGCCTCTTGGATGATTCGCTGGTGCTCATCCATTTTAACTTCATGAGCCTTTCACCTTTTAAGCTCATTTTCATCGAGCTCTTCTTCGTCTTCACAATTATCGACGATGGGTTCATTACTGAACAATGTTTCCTTGCCCTTAGGTTCTTGCTTGACAACAAGTTTAACTGGAGCAATAGGTTTAACTGGAGCTTTGGGATATTCTTTTCTTTCTTTTCCTGACCCACCATACACACCTTCTCCCCCTTGTTCTGGATTAAAGCTTTGATACGAAACACCTTCTAACCTGTGAAGCATGGCAAAAACGGGCCTCACTTTCTCTTGCAGATGCTTTCAGACTGTGATGGTGAGCATTGGGTCCCTGGTCTCAAGGATATCGGAGAGCATGCCTGTAACATCCAAAATACAACTTCACATGACAACTCTCTCAGATAACAAATCATTGACATGTTTCTCTGACGCTTCGAGTTTTGCACTTAACACCTTTACTTCTTCTGTCTTGAGGGCAAAAGAGTCCTTGATGTTACTCTCCATTTCCAGTTCATCTTGAAGCTTGGAAATTTAAGAGGAGATAGAGGTTTGATGTAACAGCCCGAATCCAGGTATTCTTCTATTTTGGATTAAGTTGTTAATTTAGGGTTTCCATGGTAGGCGAGTACGCTGGGCGTACAAGATGCACGTTGCGCGTACTCGCGCGCCTCATTTGGACGCGTTCCCCCTCAGGTACGTTGGGCGTACCTAAGGTTACGCCCGGCGTAACTCATTCAGATCCAAACCCTAATTTCCTTTGGAGGGGCTATAAAAGGAATGTGTGGCTGGACTTTTCAGCCACCATCCCTCAGATTGAAACCCTAAAAAGAGTGTACCTTCGTTCTTTAGCCATTGTGTGTGTATTCTAATATTGGTGGTGCCATTCCAAGGTTGCAAAGGAGAAGAAGAGCTTGTTGGAGAGGCTAGAAGTGGTGCTCAAGTGTAGATTTGAGCTTTGAAAGGGCTAAAGCTTCATTTTGCAGGTAAAAAGTTCGGATCTTGTCACTTGGTTCATGTTATATGCTTAAGGTATCATTTTCTAGGGTTTAAGTCCCAAAGGTGGAGACTTATTGTGCAAATGGCCTGCACAAGCTTAGATACTTCATATTTCTGATCTATTGGAGTTGTAGACTCATAAAAATGGCATCTTGGATGTGGGTATTGCACCATGCATGAGATCTAGGTCCTTGAGTTGGAAAAGAATGTTGTTATGTGATGTTGGAGTCTTTACAGCCATGCCAAGGCTTAATGGTCTCGACTTTATGGGTTTAGACACACTAAAAGAGTCGGATCTGGAAGTTGGAGTAATGGCTTAACCGATTAAGACCACAAATGAAGAGTGGCTGATTGTGATGGTTACGCTAGGCGTAACTTCCAGTACGCGCAGCGTACTCGGTGGAGACCCCGATCCAGGGGGTTGGCGATGTACGTCCCGCGTACTCTCAGGGTTGACTTTTGTTGACTTTTAGGGTTTTGGTCAACATGAGGACTTTAGATCAAGGAAGGGTAAAATGGTCTTTTACCCTCTGAGGAATGATGATAAGGGGTAAAGTTTTAGTGGTGGAAGTCTTTGCGTATTAAATAATAATATTTTTATGTTTAGGCGAGGTAGAGTCGTCGTTGGGATTCGGTGATAGCGAGGACGCGAGATCTTAGACTTTCTACGAGGTGAGTTTTCTCACTACACTGTACCCGGAAGGGTTTGACTGTGTGACCGGAAGGTCGGATATGTTATGAGATGTATGTATTATGTGTGATAAGTTATTCGTTATATGTGCCGTGTATGATATGCTTGCTATGGGTCGGAAGGTATTATGTTATGGGCCGGAAGGTGAATATGTTATGGGCCGGAAGGCGTTGTGATGTGGACCGTAATGTTGACGTGGGTAGGACCGGAAGGTTTACCTAGTCGGGACGGAAGTCCCCTGAGACACATGGACCGGAAGGTCAGGGCCTGGAAAGGCGTATGTGCGTAAGTTGTATTTTGGAGAACTCACTAAGCATTTATGCTTACAGTTGTTGTGTGATGTATTTCAGGTACTAGCGAGGACCGTGGAAAGGCACCGGCGTGATCGTACACATTGTCGGGGAAAAACTATTTTATGATCTTTAGGATGGATTTCATTGTGACAATATTGTGTACGTTTGAATTTGAAATGTTAATCGATGTTTTGATGTTTACAAAAATGAAAAATTGGTTTTAAAATTTACGTTGTTACAAGTTGGTATCAAAGCCTTGGTTTGAGGGATTCGGATACACCTTTGGGCGTAACTGAACTCAAACCGGGGATTTGAGAAATTTTTAATTAATAAAATCAACAAAAATTTGATAAGTGATTTTGAAACAACCAAAGAAGAAGAAGTGTGTACAGTCAGCCATCGCCCGAACGGTAAACTCCCCAAAATACTCTTACAATATGTGTTATGAGATATGATATGATATGATATACATGCTAATAGACTAGGTATTCATATTAGGACTAGAGTGGCCTGATTTGTGATGCCTTAGTCTAGGGAAAATCTGCTACTATGAGGTGCTTTGAGAGCGAGTGGGTAGCTAGTGCATGGCAAGAATAGAGTACTCATGATCCGGGTTTTGGGGAGGAGGACTTGGGGTGAACGCTGATGCGGTGTAGTTGGTAGTATTGGGCCCGTACTACTGAAGACACCGGGTCAGTGGGCAACCCAAGTAAGAATCCCTGGGCATCGGAGACTGAGTAGGGTTGCGTTATCGAGTGCGATTATGCTCGATAGAGTCTCTGATATTTCTATGTTGTATTTCAGAGGCATCATGGTTGGACCACGCCACAGACCTGGTACGAGCAGTGTGAGTGACGAGGACCTTCGTCAGATGATTCATGAGGAGGTGGCTGTAGCGATCCGGACTGAGATTCCGGAGATATTTGGGTCTATTAAGACCACACTGATGGAGACTTTTGATGAGCGGTACGCCGCGGTGACTGAGGCCGTAGCCGCTGCAGCTACCGCAGCTGTGGCCGCTGCCAGACCATAGGGAGGTGACTCGTTGCTGTTCCGGGAGTTGAGCAACACGAAGCCACCTGAGTTTGACAGGACGCAGGATCCGATCACTGCGATGAGATGGATTGCTGATATCGAGGGATGCTTCTACACTTGTTCATGTCCAGAGCATCTGAGGGTACGATTCGCCTTGAACCAGCTCCGCCTGGGAGCAAAGGATTAGTGGAAGTTCGTGATGGAGAACTTCACTCTGGCGGAGGTTTCAGCCATGACTTGGGAGAGGTTTACTGCTATCTTCATAGACGAGTATGTTCCCCCGGTGGAGAGGGAACGGTTGGTTCAGGAGTTCTTGACCCTCAAACAGGGTAATGATTCTGTCACGGTGATCACGCGGAAGTTTCATGAGAGGGCAATGTTTTTCCCTTAGCAGGTGTCCACGGAGCAGGCTCGAATGAGCCGGTATTTGGGAGTGTTGAGGAGGGATATCCGGGAGTTCGTATCGAACTCATCATACCAGACTTTTGCTGAGCTTCAGGCGAATGCTAGGAAGCGTGAGATCGAGTTGGAGACCCAGGCCAGGGAGGAGGCCGGGTCTCAACGGGTGGATCGGTGGCCGGCTCAGTCTCAGCCGGCAGCCAAGCGGACCAACTCCGCCGATTCGAGGTCGGGAGGTCAGAAGGGTCGCACTTGCGGAAAGTGCGGCAAGGGTCACGAGGGGGTATGTCGATCGAGTGCTTGCTACAAGTGTGGCAAGGAGGGGCACATTGCTAGGGATTGCCCTAAGGGATTTATGGTTTGCTTTCATTGCAACCAAACCGGCCACCGGAAGGCCGAGTGCCACCAGCTTCGCCAGGGTTCTATGCCTGCTGCTAGGGTTACCGAGACGCGGCCAGTGAAGGCCGAGGCTCCGAAGGCTCATGGAAGAGCTTTCCAGCTGACTGCGGAGGAGGTCCGCGCGGTGCCTTATTGTTGGATTAATGTCTAAGTCCATAACTATAATTGGTAAGACTTGACCCGACCCGGCATGGTCCATTTGGGTTGCATGGCATCATGCACTTGGATAGACTATAATGAGAGAAATAAGACACTTATGGTTATTAATATATTATAAGTTCTAGTATATTAATAATAAGAATAATGATATTATTTAATTAGTATTGATCAAGAATTAATCTAGGATTAATTAAGTGATCAAAAGAAGACTAATTAAATATATGGGTTGATTGTGTAAATCATCCATACTTGTATAGTGGGCTAATGCTCCATGGATAATCAAGTTGGGCTAAAACCCATAGGATGGTCCATGGATGCTCCATGGTGTATTTGAACCCATGGATCCAAGGAAATGGAAAGTCATGACAATTAGGGTTTACCTTAATTGTAACACTATATAAACATCTTATTCTTGATCAAAATCGGCCACTAGAAAGAGTAAGAAAGGGCTAGCCGTTTTTCATGAAGTGTAGAATTCTCTCAAGTTATTCCAAGTGTATTTGGTGTTGTGTGAACCATTTGAGGTGTCACACTTGGGGCACTAGGCACTCAAGCTTCATGAAGACATTCTACATCAAAGAGGTATGTATTCTATCTTGTTATATTGATAGTTTTGTATGCTAGATTAGGATAATACCTTGGATGTTCATATTTGCATGTATAATAGAGAAAACATAGATCCAAGGTATTTAGGGTTGCATGTACACTTAGGAGTGTTAGAATGCTCAAACCCAACAGTGGTATCAGAGCCTAGGCTTGTTTTCTTGTTATACCTGCAATAG